GTCATGATGCATGCCATGTTGATTCTCTGTTTTCCTGGATTCTTGGGAAGCACGTGGTTAGTCTTTTCTTTCTTTCTTCTACGGTTAATACTGTCTTAAGCATCTCTTGTAGGACTGTCTGGAGGCAGCATAAACTCTTAGGGATTGAATGTCTGGGAATGATTTTAATTCTCCATCACTGATGAAGCTTAGCTTACCTGGATGGAAACTTTTGGGTTGGAATTGTTTATCTTTGAGAACTTTGAATATTGGACTCCAGTCTCTTCTAGCCTGTTGTGTTTCTGTAGATAAGTCTGCTGCTATACAATTGGTGTTCCCTGGTAGGTAGTCTGACCTTTCTCACTGCCTTTAGGAATTTTTTCTTTTATACCTACTTTGTGTAAGCATATTACTCTGTGTCTAGGAGTTGTTCTTCTCATTTGATGCCTTGCAGGGGTTCTCTGAATCTCTTGTGTTTGAATGGTCATATCTCTGATGAGATGAGGGAAGTTTTCTTGGATAATTTCATGGAGTGTTTGTTCCAGGATGGTCTCTGTCTCTCTATCTGCTTCAGGAATGCCATTTCGGTATAAGTTCTGCCTCTTGATATAATTGCACATCTCTTGGAGGCTTTGTTCCATCTTTTTAAGCTTCCTATGTTTTTAACAGTTTGGGTAAATTCCATATTTTGGTCTTCAGGTTCTGAGATTATTTCTTCTGCTTGGTTAATTCTGCTTTCTGTGATTGTCAGTTTGGTATTTATTTCCTTTACTGTAGTCTCTATTGCCATCATCTCAGTTATCAACTCCTCTGTTCTTTCCTCTTATATCTCCTGATTTCTATTCAGTCTCTCTATTAATATCTTGATATCTGGGTTTGTGGTTTGAGACCTGTCATTCTGGGGCTCTTCATTGTTTGAGTTCCGAATTCTGTATTCTCAGGTGCTGTCTTCCCAGGAGTCTGGAGGGTACCCGTGGTCATCTTTTGGTTTTTCTTCATTTGTGATGGCTCCGCCCCTTTTTTCCCCTCTTTAATTCTGTCGCTCAGTGATGGGGGGATAGCTTTCACTTTTGTTTGCTCAATCTTCTATTCTTCCTTATGTAGATTCTCTGGATTTGTGCAATTTTGAAGCCAGACTGGGGGTGGGAGGCTGTGCTGTCTTTTTGCAGTTTTGAGATTTGATTAAGATGTGATAGGTGGCTCAGCCTGTAATCCCGCACCTTTGGGAGGCTGAGGTGAGTAGATTGCGTGAGCCCACAGGTTTGAGACCCGCCTGGGCAGCGAGACCTCATCTCTACAATAAATCAAAAATCAGCCGGGCGTGGTAGCACATGCCTGTAATTCCGGCTACTCGGAAAGCTGAGGCGGAAGGATCACTGGAGCCCAGCGGGTCGAGGCTGCGGTGGCTGGGAGTGG